TTAAATGCCACTGTCATTTATGGAGAAGATGCCCCATGAAGGTCACCTAAAAGACTTTACCTCAAAGGCCTGAAAGGTCAGTCCGACATGGTAGCCCTCAGACACCGTTATTTTCCACACACACTCTTTCATCGGACGATAGTCATCAGGGTAATTAGGAGACTGAATCTGCCCTTCATTTCTGCGTATCTCACCTCCACAGATAGCTGAAGAAAGCAAAAAATAAGTAAATAAATAGAACTAGACATGGCACTTCATTTTCATTTTCTATTAAGCCAATACTGAAGTTCAGTTCCTGTAACTAAGAACATAAAAACCAGGTTATAAAAAAAAAAAAAATCAGAGTTGGCTGGTTATACTGTTGTGCAGATTTAGAGGGTAAAACATGTACTATAAACAGTAGATCACTATCAGTCAAGGAATATATAATTGTCGATCACTCTTATGTCACATTTTCACCCCTGAAAAAATAAATATGTCTTAAACTTATATAAGCCTTTAGGAATTTTATAAATATATTCTATGTGAGTTTGTTCTATGATTTCCTGAACTACTTTGACCGCAGGTAAAATAGCTCATCAGCAGACAAGCTTCACCCTGAACAGAACTGAATGGGCCTCTGGCAGTGAGCTAGCATCATGTGCTCAACATCTGTGGCTTCATCCAAATAATCCTCTTCACCACTGTGCAGTTAATCTTTAAAGCAAAATGCTTTCTTTCACTTAAAAGTTTAAGGGAAGCAAAAATCTCTGTCTTGGAAATTACCTAAACTCCTATACAAGCAAGGGTCTCCGCTGTCTACCACATGGTGAGTAAGGGGCTCTTTTTAAAGCCAGGAAGCACAATGCTATCTTATTGTTTTAGAGAAGCATAGGACAAAAGCATGCAATAAATTCTTCCTCGAATGCTGACTCTCTGATTTAGACAAAGCATGCTTTAGAAATGTGCACAATTACTTTCTGTGCAGTTTCCTATAATAGACTATTTCAGTAGTGCTGGGACCAAATATGTACAAAATCAGGACAAAGGAAAATAATGCCTTCATACTATTTTAATAGTATTGTGAAACAAATTTTAAACACTTTGTGCCATTTGGATTTTTTCCTCCCACACCTCTCTGAGCACATCTTGTTGTTACTATATCATTGATACAAGAAAACTGGCTGTTTTTAACAGTTTTAATGTCTGGAGAATTTTTTTATAAAAATAATTTGTGAATATTGAAATGCATGTTCACAAAATGTTATAATTTAAAACTTTTAAATGTGGTCACAAAATCATTCTAATGAAATTGGGGGACAAAAAGGACACTTAGCTGAGAGATCTAAAATACATTCATTTCTTAACTTCAATGTGACTTGCCTTCATAGACAGCTGCAAACCCTTTTCCTACCCAGTTACTGCTGCTACGGAACTCAATCCACATTCTGCTGTCTGTAGAGGTAAGAACTTCAGGCACCTTGTCCCCACAGAATCTACCTAAAAGAAATGAAAGAATAAAGAGCACCAAATAAATATGATTGTGTGTTCTACTTGCTTTCTGCATTAGCTACAAACTATACACATAAAACCTAGTTTGGCTAGTATCTCTATCCCTAGTGATCAGAGTCAGAATAGCGCCTTAATATTTATTTAATAAAGGTTAATAAAACATTCTCTTCATATATATTTATAAACTATCAAACAACTGATGTCAGTATTATCATCACATTTGGTAAGAAGAGTTAATCCAAAAAGGATATTTACAGATGGACCCATGATACATCAAGGTGAAAAACAGAAAAGACACAAGTCCCTCAAGACACTGGTTCAAGTCTCCATCTGGTCAGTAAGCAGGAGAGTGACTTGCCGACAAATGTGCTCCTGGTCCAAACAGAAGTTGGTTCTCTAGCCAGGGTCAATGAGAACCCATCAGGACAACGTCTGGGACACTCCAAGGAACTTACTGCATACACTATCTCATCTATAAAGCTGCAATTGGTGGAATTATAGGCAGAATAACCAACATTACTATAAGACTTCAGTCTGAGATGTGAAGTTTTCTAATTGCATATCCAGAGGTAAAAATAATGAAAAATAGATGCAATACTAACTATTGTTTCTTCCTTTCTTATGCAACCCTTCCACAAAAATTCATTGATTACTGTATGTCTACCTTGGGGTTCTAAGAACTCACATAATGACAAATGGTTAAGTGTGACAAAGCACATGAAATAATTCTATAAACACATGACACTTCTATCTACTTTTGTGTGCCTCTGAAAATGACATCATGCATAATTTTAATATGAGAAAACTGGTAGCCAATTTAAATAAAGCAAATTTATCAACAGTGAAAAGAAAGAACAATATCTTCCCAAGATGCAAAATGAATTAGAGGTGCCTATAGTGCATTTTAAGCTATAGTATGCATGAAAATTGCCAGGAAAATCTGTTAAAATTAATCTCTCGCTCAGAGGATATAGACTTTTTATAATTCCTGAGTTTTTATAATTCTTACACCTTTCCAGATGAATATAGGGCAAGCACTCTGAGGGCTAAAGTTTTACAAGAAATGGTGGAGAAATCTTTTCACATGAAGACCATATCACATTGAGTCAGTCTGGTGGACATAACTCAAATTTTAGCTTCAGATTTATATGAGCTTAATAAAATGTTTCCTTTGGAATACACAAATGTATATAACATATGGCTTTATCTAGGCTAAGAGACTAAACGTACAAGACAATGTTTTCCTCAAAGGTACAAGACAATGTTTTCCTCAACCTGACTGTTCACATTACTTTAATTCTTCATTACTTCCCTATTTTTAAACATTTCCACAGATCTCCAACTTACTCAGGCTGCTGTCACTTTTAATCTAAGAGTGTCCATTCAGCAGGTTTGGGATGTTCAGAAAAAAGAAATCTGTCTAACACATCAACATGGCTAAACAAAGCTACTTCTAAAAATAAAAGAAGCCACAATCTCAAAAAAAAAAAAAGGAAAAATTAAGAAAATATCCACATAGAAGCACACACGCTCACAACAGCTCTCACCTCTTAAGTTAAAACAGGGCAACAGTAAACCACCTCATACAAATTAATAGTGTGGTCTGTGGTTAAGCACTGATGGCAGATTTACATGGGGACCAAATCTGGCTACAGCTAATGACACAAACTACAAGCGTTTTTGTTTTCTCAGCCACAGAAAAACTCTTGGAAGAAAAACCAGCAACGTCTATAGAAACAACAAATATGCTTGGCACAGGAAGAATCTATCAAATACCTGACAGAACACCCACAGAATATATTCACATCTGATCTTGTTTTTGTTTCATCAAAATGTTTGATCCTCAGCACCACATAAAAATAAAATAAAAATAGTATTGTGTCCACATACAACTAAAAAATAAATGTTTAAAAAATTATGAATTAAAAAATCACAATTATTAAGCTGAAAAAACAGGAACATACTGAAGAATTATCATTATAACCCTAATATATGAAAAAGCTATGCTCAAGCATTACGTTCAGATCCAAATATCCACTTGTAGTTAATTTAAGTCAATTAATCAATGTATTCATTTCTCTGAGTATGTTTGGAAAAGGGTAGTCGAAATAATAGCAATGTAGACTACATACATTTAAACTCTAAGATGACCCTTGAGAGAACGGATGGTCTCTATACAGGAGAGAATACTTGTGTAACCGCATAGGAGATAAGTAAGCACTTACCAAGGAGAGGTGACTTCCTCCAGTACCCATCTCTTACTTCAATGTAGTCATACCAACACAAACTACTCTTGTATAGGTCCATTGTGGTAAAATTTAAGACAATCTGTAAGATGGAGGAAAACAACACACAAAGTAAAAATGATCGTAATTTGAATCCTGGAAGGAAGGAACCAAAACTAGAGTAAAAAGGAACTTACAGCTATTTCTTTCTTTTTTCTATATTTTAATCACCCTAATATTTTTTTCTTAAATGCCCCCAAACCATGTTTTCTCATTTTCATTAATAATTTCAATAGAAGCCCAATGTTAATAACTAGAAGGAATTAAATTAACCCAACGTTCTGTAAAGTGAATGTGAACAATTAATTGCACAAATAAAACAAATCTTCATTTGAATAGTTTATTATGAATTTTCTATGATAAATATGATTTAAACTATGAAGAATTCCAATTTTTTCATTAATATCTTCTTTTGAATAATTTATTTCAAAGACAAACAGTCAGATATCTATAATTATGTTAAAAATAACCAGTGGGTGCCATTTTCCCAGAACGTAATATCATTGTGTATGTTGAAATGTTTAAATACAGTCCTAGCATTTAAATGTATCCTTGAAACTATAATCAAACTCATATGTCACTACTCTTCTTAAGGTCCAAGAATACATTTTCAAAGCCTTTCAAGTTAGATTCTGTACATGACCTTTATTCTGTACTTTGTTTTGGAATGATGCTGCTTTTTGTAAAGATAATTCAAGAGCAATTCTAGGAAAGATGATTTTTTCATTGCTTCATAAAAGTTCTTTACTTTTCAAAGAATTGACTCTTTATTTACTTGATTACAACAAAAGTACAATCAATCTAATGTTAGAAATGTGCTCAAATTAAGTAAAATTCATTTGGAAATCATTTTGTGTGTTCAAAACTCATTCTAACTCGATTCTGCTTAAATTATCTAACATGCTTATGGCTCATAGTATACCTGGGTTTTTTTCTGTTGACATTAAAATGGACTTTGCCCAAATGCAACAAATTATGAATATCTGAATTGTTTCTATTATAAAATAATAATTTATCACAATATTCAAAGAGCTCAAAGAAAATGCTGATTATAAAAAATCTAAAGGAATAGTGAAAGAGATAAAATATATAATCAATAACCCTGAACCTATATTACAGAAAAATCCTACCAATACTGTGAAGAAAACATATACTTCTTCCCTTTCTTAAACACAATATTTGACAAAAATTTAAGTACTAATTATGGCAAATCAATCCTAGCTTGCCTACTCCTTCCTAGTATGAAGACACAATATCACACAAAAAAATTTCTCTTAGCATCTTCTATCTAGGTGCACAGCTTCAATTGTTCATATAGATTAACATCTACTTTTTAATTAATGTACTAAGAAACAAAATTCTACCAAGGATGAAAAAAATAAGAGATACTTTTTAAAATACAATACAGCATGCATTATTATTTAATTAGTACTTATTCAGTTGTTACTATTAGTGTTTAGTTTTAATAGTTATTTTTAATCATTCCATTTTGAAGCTTATCTATTTTTCCTTCAATTTTTTAGTTTCAAATATTTTCAAAGACTGTTTGAAAAAATTTCCCAAATAGGGGCTAGGGCTATAACTCAGTGGCAGACTGCTTGCCTAGCACATGTGAGGCACTGAATTTGATCCTTAGCACCACATAAAAGTAAACAAAATAAATGCATTCTGTATGTTTGTAACTACAGGAAAATTTTTTTTAATTCCCTAAGTATCCAAGGGTAAAGTACTGATCATTTTTTCTTTCTTTTTCAAAATCTTCAACACTTGATTGTCAAAACGCTTTAGTTTCTAAATTATTTTTTCCAAGTTATCCAAATATTTTCTTCTCCCATGCAACCTCAGATTATTCTCGGGATACAGTGGGAGAATAATTTCTGGCTTTTTCACTTAACTGTGTGTTTACTTTAAGTCTGCTACAAATAGGGAATACCACCACTGCCTGATATTAAGTTTCATTCTGCATTCATATTTTCCCTATAGCAACCACCAGAGTTTCAACTCCATATGATCTCATTTGTTATCATTTGTTATAGCAGAGACAGCAAAAGTAGAATACAGACACAAAAAAGATAACCATGGATCATTTTGTGGCTCCTCTCTCTGCTTAAAGGGGAGTTTTTACAATGGTGTGAAAATAGTTTCAATTTCCTCCTGCATGAGAAAAAAAAATCGATGAATTGGATGTATATCATCAAATTTCATCCCAAATTAAAAACGACATGGTTGGATTGTTAATAGTTAATATTTGAATACTTAGAATAAACACACACAACACAACACACACACACAAACATACACACACACACAGGAAAGGGGATAACTGAGCAGAAAAGTTTCCTATCTTGTTTTTAATCTTCTAGTTTAAACTCCAAGCACCGTGGAGGAACAAAACCGGCCTGACACTAATATAAAACACAGAGTCCTTTAGAAGTAGAAAATGTAATAAAGATAGGTTTTCTAAAATCAAATCTCCCAGGCTCTGACTATAGAAGTAAAATTCTGGCCTTTGACTAAAATTGCCAGCAGAATTCATACTTGCATTACAAATCAAAAGCACTTGGAAAATATTTTGTTGTTTCATATTATGCTATTTTATGCAAACATATTGCATCTTTCAAAGAAAGATAAAATGAATACTACATAGTACAATTATACAAATATTTTATTTCAGATGGTAAATATAAGTATCAAGTTAAAATTAACCATCTTCCCTTGGAACATGAGACGGAGGAGATTCAAAGAACAGTTCTCATGTTTCCTGTGATCTGTTAGGAGTCTAGTTGCAACGTTAAAGTGATACAATTGCTGTTAAATTTGCTTATTAAAGACTTTGCTTCACAAAGCTGCAGAGTGAAGAATCTTGAAGAAAGACAGAGCAACAGCTCAAGGGACTGGATGTCTGCAAGTCTCCGGAGAAAAATGTAATCGACTAACTTTTGTCCATGCAATTAAGACATTATCGATTACCTAAACAAAGTCCATGGGCACCATAAAATGGCATTTACATCTTTAGAGCTGAGGAGAGGGAAGATGCAGACATTGCCAATCAGATTGATTATTAAATGGCTCTTTAGATAGAGATTAGATTCAAAAGCAACAAGATGAAATAGATTGTTAGGTTCCAGCCCAAAGAAACCTAAACAAGTCTAATAAACTTTCTGGATTAACTACAGCTTTTTCTCTCAGAAATAAGGCTAATGGGGAGTAGATCAGAGATTGGTACAGGATCTGCCTGTAACCTACTTTTGTGAATAAAGTATTATTGCATCCATTCCCTTACTATATCAACCATGTCTGCTCTTGCACTACAATGCTAGAAATGAGCATTTGAACAAAGACTATCTACCCTCTAAAGGCAAAAATATTTACTCACCAGAAAAGTATGTCAATCCCTACAATAATTAATTGTTATAATTAAATAATAATCATTATTAATTATATATTTAATAATTATAACATATTATAATGTGTTAATTAATAATTAATACATTAAATTTTTGTTCAGATCTGAAATTGTATTGCAGTAAAGGGAGAAATAATTAACATCTCTTTCTACAATTAAAGCTATTCTGGAGTAGGAATCAAAAGACCTTGGGTTCAAGTTCGAGCTTTTCAGTTTGCTAATTTACTTAAACTTTATATCAAATGAATCTTCTTACCATCTCAGATATCATCCTATCCAATTTGTCCCATCAAAATTAAATCCAATCCCATGTAGAAAAATACATAGAGAATCCTAAAGCATTAAGACGTTCATTTCATGGTAAATATTCAGGCATCCATCACAACATACATTTTGAAAAAAAAATATAAGAAATTTTCATCCAATTTCATGAAGTCAACTATTCTAGGAAATATAAAAATGTGATTTTAAAGTTTCACAGAGAAAAATAGTGATATTAAAATAAGAGAATCTCAAAATTCATAGAATGGACAGAAGAACTTGGGGCTTTCCTTGAAGTTCCTGCCTTAGATTATTTGCATAACCTCAAGTAGACCCTAGCCTAGTTGTGGAACCTTGGGGAGACCCAAATTTCAATCAGGAATTATTTATATCCGAGATAGAAACAAGAGTGCGACTATGTTATTAAAACAATTTATTGCTTAAACTCATGTGATAATATTTTGATTTTGATTTTTGTCATCACCTACTAGTCACCAAAATATTTCCTTATACCTCTCCTTAATCCCCACTCCTACCACATATCTAGTTAGTTCCTAAATGCACACCCCTGCCTAGAAGCTTTTACATAGCCAATGATGTAATGGCTTCCAGTGGTTTTTAGCTTCACTTGTCTCCAGCATGTTCTACACTTATAGTCACATGAATCTCAGTAAAGTCTGGATCTCATCATCGCTTGGTTATCAAAAACTCTCGAGTCCAAATCCACCTTTTCCACTTTCTCTTTCACAATCTCCAACACGAAAGATTTATTCTACTCATTCTCCTAACTTCTTACAGTTGTGCCCTGAAAAAGCATCCCAGTTTTAGCTTATGTTCCCCAAGGTGTGCTGAAGTCTACCTGCATTTCACATTTGCTTTCCCTGTGCCTTGAAACTCTTTACAACCCCCCCTACGCCCCCACCCCGTCTTCCGACTCTTCAGTCATGCTAGAATCTCCCAATAAAATCTGAGCTCTCTTCAGAACCCAAGTTGCATCTTGCTTTCTTCAGTAATTTTTCATCCTAGCAATTATATGACTATTATTAATTTGTGAGATTCTTGATAGCAAGGATTTATTTGGCACATCAGAAAAATACATCTCTTTTTAAAAAAAGAATCAAAATTTTTATGCATCAGAAAATATTTATCTATTTTAATAGAATCAAAAATATATATGGTGATTGTTGAATTTACATGGTGCCTTTGGCAATATAAATTATTGTGAAATGACCCTGTAGATATAAAACATAGATGAGGGATCAAAAAGAAATGTTTGCAAAAAGAGTCAAAGGACAGCCTTTAAATGAGTTGGACAGAAAATAGAGAATATATTAGTTCTATTCAAGACATAAGCAATCTGCCCTTGTTCAAAGATC